TGGATAGAGCAGAGAGCATATACGGTAAAAACACAGAAACTCATCCGACTAGTTTTCTTATCTGCGGAGCACCTTTGGATGACAAGTTATGAGCGTTCTATGGGTCAAAAACCTGAGATCTTGATTAGAATAATCAATGGTGGCAGCCTTTCCAAGCACGCAAAAACAGTGGCGTGGAAATTGCAAACAGGAAATTCTCTTTTTATGGAGAGGTTACACAATAGCCAATGTTCCATCTGAGCGCACGAGAGATTTCTATTAGGTTGCCTTCAAAGTAAATTGCATTTTCAAATAAAAGCAGCTGTTCTTGTTCTCCTAAGGGTGCCTTCATACCGCGCCGCCAGCAGCCGCTAGCAGCCCGTAGCAGCCGCCAGCAGCCCGTAGCAGCCGCCGGCAGCCCGTAGCAGCCCGTAGCCGCCGCTGGCCGCCTTTCTTATGGGAATGCAAAATCATTAGTACTTGAGAATCTTAGTGCTCTTGCCTACTCTTTTCATTTTCCACGCTTTTCCTTCTGTTACCACCAGTGTATAGTTGATTCACAAATCATATTTGTGTCCATTTCATTACTTTGACGCCGTATGGGTCCCTTTGAACCATAGTTCGCAAAAGTTTCTTTCCTTTGTGATCCTGACTTTGGATGCGTCCATTTTCTGCAGATGTGCAATTTGTTTACTTTTTGAGTATGTTTTTGCTTCAATCTTCTTGTTAGATATCGATGCATATCTAAATAGCATTCTACTATTTCGCAAGTTTGCCAAATTGATTCGCGGGATGGGTTTTCTGACTTTCACAATCGTTCGCAATCGTATAGATAAGACAGATTGCAAAAGTGAAATGTAGGCACCTATAGGAGGATGCAAAGTGCGGCAACAGAACAGTGGATCAAATGTAATGTGTGAAATCAAGCTCACATTCTCGGCAACAAAAGAAAAAGCGTTTTAGATGAAAAGCGTAGGTAAAAGCACTTAAAGCAGTAAGACTCTGGTGATTTTTCGCTCCGGATCAGAAGCAGTCAGCGGCGGCTACGGGCTGCCAGCGGCTGCCAGCGCGGTATGAAGGCACCGTAACAGACTTAACGTATCATTCGATAGAGCGCAGCAAGCTCTACAAAAAGACGACCAAAGATCCACTAAGTCGTAATCGAAGTAAAATTTAAGGTCATAATCAAGATTTTCAGCTACCCTAAAAATTGATTCTCCTTCCAGAAAATTCCTATCAACTTCCAACCTGGTCTTTTTACAGTAGACACATGGTAGTACAAATGTGTTTGGCGGATTTTTTCCAGGGTTCAAAGTGAGAAAAGATGGTCCGAAAATGTCGAAATGCCACTTTTTTAAGGTTTTTTTAGATGTAAAACTTGGTACTTTCGAACATAAGAGCACGTACAGGGGTGACGTTTTGAAATTATACTTATAAGGCTTGTAGTATACAATGACATATGTATGTGGGAGGGGCTGAGGGCGGAGTTTGCTATTTTTGTACAATTTTTGTTTCACGCTTTCTATGCTTGGAAAAAATTCGGTAAAGTATATTTGAGTACTACTATGTGCCTACCGTATAATGACCAAGGTGGGCGTGTGTAGGATTCTTTATCGCAGAAATCCAAATTTCAGGTGACAAAATTTTTTCCGGTTTGGCTTCAAACTTTCCATGGAATGCGACTTAGGCGGATCCTTGGTGGACATTTTGTAGTGCTTAATCTGTTCTATCGAATGATACCCCAAGTTTACTGAGAAAACAAAAACAGCTATGAATTATTTGAAAAAGGAGTTTACTTTCAACCTAATATATTAAGCTGTACCGAAAGTTCTTTCGCGCCATTTTCTTTATAATGGCGTCTTAGATACTTGCTAATGATCATCTGATGCATAGATAGGAGCGGTAGAAGAAAATTAGTCAAAATTCGAGTTTTCTGTGTAGGGTCTTAAAAAATCAGAGACTTGCAACAAAAATCGGAGCAGACAGTATTGTATCTTTCACCAGTCTAACAGTGCAAAGTTTGCGCCGATTGAGCGTCTTTATGAAAAGTTATGATTTTCGAGCAAGCAATACAAAAGGGCGAATTTGATTTATTTTGGCATTTTTCAGGAAAACCATAACTTTTTAAAGAGACGCTTAATCAGCACAAACTTTTCACTGTTGGAAAGAGCTGGTAAAACCTACAATACTGCTCCGATTTTTGTTGCAAGTTTCCGATTTTTATGACCCTACACAGAAAATTCGAATTTTGACTATTTTTCTTCCACCGCTTTATCTACGCAACAGGTGATCATTAGCAAGTATCTAAGATGTCATTATAAAGAGCATGACTTACTCTTTCATACGAAAATAAAAGCGCTCATATCGGTTGGAAAATTGAGCAGTTATGATTTTGAATTTGGTGCGAAAGAACTTTCGGTACAGCCTAATATACGGTTTTTTTTCTTACTCGTCGTTCTTATCTTCACTACAAAAGTCCTCGTAACTTATCTTGCCGCTCTGCAGATATCAAAACAAATCTGAAATCAGCGTTTGATGTCTTTTACGAAGGTGCGCTTTAGAGAAATAGAAACTGTAGAAAGGGAAATGAGAGTGTGTCATGCGTACAAGGCAAAAAACCAGTGATGAAGAGCAGCAAAAAGCAGAGAAGGAGAAGGGAGTGTTGCATGGAACTGAAAAACATTGAAATTGCATCAAACAAGGTGCACTAAGGTACATGCATGCCCTCAGTCCTGAAGGCGCTAGATCTGCAGAGCATCTTCAACGCGACAGCCACGCAGTTCCCAACAATCTCAACTTTTCTGATTACGATTTTTTATATTAGATAGCCAGCGACGCATACAATTGCCTGATTTGGAATGTATATGTAAGCAAGATATTTTCGCAGAAATTTTTCTGGACTGAGTTGCGTTTTGGACTTTCCAAGGTTTTCGGGAGCAGAACTCTTCAAAATTTTGATTGTCTCTTGGTTTGAACACTAATATCTAGGGCCATCTTTTCTAAATAATAAATCTAAAGCTATATAGCAGAGGTGCAGTGAGAGGGAGAGAATGGGTCGCGAAACTTTTGAAAGTTACGAGTTTAAAGAGTTGAATGAGTTGAAAAAATGTGCGATCAACTTGTTTATACCTGCAGGAAATTAGAATTTTTCAAAAATTTCAACAAATTAGCTCTGTAAAAAAAATCTCCTCGGAAAAGCTGGGGGGAGGGGTTAGGGGTATGAGCCCAAAAAATTTTTGGAAGCGTCCCAAAATATTTTTTCGGAGCGCAGGCGTTGCTACGCACTTTCATTTCAAACAACTTTTTGTCCCCCTCCCTAACGAAACTCTTGAATACGCCCACTGCTATCTAGAACAAAGAATATATATAAATTATATTGCGGTTTGTATCTTTTTGGGGCAAAACGCATGCTGGAACCTGGTAACTGAAATCTTTGAATCGTAAAAAGTTGAGCAAATGTAATTCTGCAAATCCTAGGTGTCTGTAAAATAGTGACCAAATATAGGCTCTATACGGTTCTGAGTAAATGCATTCTTGAAGTATTCAGCTATTACCATGTTTTGATCATTTATGATAATCATGATTTATGAAAGCTTCTAATAGTTATCTTGTAACTCGCTCTATCAAATAACGACCTCGTTGGTTTTTTGTAAACACCTTTACGGTGATAAAACAGACCTCATTTTTGCGTCAACCTAACAAGGATGTTATTGCCGTATGGCGCTTGCCCACTCTATTTGACTTAACGACTAAGCATTGTTTGGCGTAGAGAAACTCTGAAATGGCATGCATGATTACTGGCCGAAGAAAAAATAAGTATGAAAGCATAATTGCTAAAGTGCTTGTATGACCTCATCTTAAACATTGCTCGCAGGTCTGGAGCCCTACACGTAAAAAAGAAATCACTAAGCTTGAACAAGTGCAAACAACTTTCACTCGTCTTTGGTGTATTCGCGTTTCTCCCAATAGCAAACCACCGAATCATGAAGCACTATTGAAGATTTAATTTACAAAACCTTGTCGTCTTAATGTTGCTAATCAAGTATTCTGCTTTCGAGTGCTCTTAGAAAAGAAAACAGGCTGATAGCCAGCAAATTCTGAATATTCGTACCAGCTAGTGAAAGATTAGGAGGCTATAATTTGCATTAGCTAGTACTATCAGCTGTAATTTATCTATCAATGCACGATAATATCTTCTGTAAATGCGCTCGATGGTTTTCCTGGAGAAATCATTTCCACAAAGGATGATCGTTGCTTTAGTGCTAAGATAAAACATGTTGAGCTTATTCGTATTTTTCATGTTAATTTTTTCTGTCGTTATTCTTTTTCAGTTCATCTCCGGTGACCATGTAACATGTGATTCTACTACCGGTGATGTTACATTGTGCCGCATCTACTACGCGCTGCTTGCACAATCGTTTTAACTGTTAACTGACATCTTTTTGCCTACGTCTTGATAGTCTGCTACATGGAATTAGAGGGAGGCCGCTTTCTTCAGTTTCATATTTTTTGGTTACTAACCATGAACATGCCTTACTAACGTTTACTCTAGCTAATCTCATTCATCAGGGTACGTTAGCCAACATTCAATCAATTCATTATAGCCTGACCCCATCTATAGTTTCATTGATCTCATCTGCTTATTCTGACGATATTGGTAGTTATTTTATTACTACCACCCCGATTCAGAATCTTGCTTCCTCCGAAGGAAAGTCTTATCGAGGTCAGGTCAGCTAGCTTTAACCGCGTGGTCGCTGACGCTCATAAATTCTCCATCAGTTTGAGAAAGCAAGACTATCAAGATTTTTTTGACAAAGTACTCATTTTTTTTACTGCTAGATGGGTCTAGTGCTTCTTGTCTTGTTATCCATCCCCACTTTCTGTTTGCACTAAGGCTGAAAAAGCTGCTTTATGCGTTAATGCGTTCAATCTCTCTTTCTTTTCGTTGAATATCGTTTTCTTTGGTGCACCTTCGTGTATTTATGAGAAGAATTTCTGCTAATATGACATCAACAACATACCGTGTTTCGGAAGCAACGTCGCAATATTCCTCAGCACATCTTTTTTTAGGAACGATTTGTGAGGGCAAATGAAATCGCTTTCTAGCTGTGGCCCACCCGCATCTAACAGTATCGCGTCGTAAGAATCTCCTAAATGAACTTCGGTACACTTGCATAAATGTAGAAGTAAGCAAACCTTTTTTAACACTATCCGCTAGAAAAGTGACTCCGTCGGCTTGGATGACTCGTTGATGATCATCTTCTAAAAGACCAAACCACTTTCTGGCCATCTTAATCATTTGCCCGTCAATCTCCACTGCGGTTATATTCATCTGATAAACAATCGCATCTTGATACAACTTCTTTGCAACAAGTATTCACCTGAGGAAAGATTTGATGCAGAAAGCTATTAATTGTGCCACCTCCTAGACCAATTGTCAAAATTTTGCCATCGCAATCTCGAGAGAGATTGAAGCGATTACTAAGAAATAGTAACTCTGAAATAAAAACTCTATTTTCTTAATTATAACCGATGTCTGTTTATAAAAACGTATGTGCGGAACAAAAAATTTTATTTCTGAACCGATCGGGACCAAGCTTGGCACGTATATATTTTGAGGCAGGGGCGTGTCATAAACTACTTTTGGCCCCGGGCCTCACGCGATTTCAATTGCATCCGACCTGGCAGTATCACAGTTGCTTATAACTCGTCGCGAACTCAATTCGTGCATACCAAACACAGACTACAAATGCTTGGTGTACTCAACTTTAGTGAGTGATAAAGTGTGCTATGTTCTGTGCTGGCCAAATCCCGGCTGAACTCGCAAAAAAGCTCAGGGCCTTTCGTTATTGATCGATATCGATATGTCATTCCAGTCGATATTTCGCAAATTTTCAATTACCTTTGTCGATTCCATTGATTTCTTGCAAAGTTTAAGCTAAAGGGCTGGGAATTAATTTATAGGGTCAGTAAGCATCTAATTACGAAAACGTAGCGGGAACAGGGACTGCCGTACAAACTGGGACATGGACAAGGATGTGTGTGAAAATGGCGACCCTTATGATAGTGCATTAACAGGGCCGAGCGGAGCCGGATATGCCAGTTAGTTGAGTAGTAAAAGTCATCCACGCACCAATCATTTTGTAGTAGTAGGTAAACTGTAGAAGTGCTGTCCTATCTATCCTCCATCGTGATGTGATATCCGCTTCCGTTAATTCTGAAACTGAAACATTAGCAACTCAAAATCTCGCTATGTATGTGCGATTTAAAATTACTTGAGGGAATAGTATTAGAAGCTCTTTTGAACACATCAAATGCATGCAGTGCGTTCCGTAACTATACAGTACTTATGCGATTTTCAGATTTCTAGAAGAGATGGTGCACTCCAGGTCAGTGAACATGCTTCAAACATTCATGCATGTTTTTGATGCCTTTTGAAGCATGCGTCTATGACATACTGCTATAAGCTCCTGCAAGACGAAGGCGGTCGGTTCGATGTGCAATGCGGCTGCGACATGGCTGCGTCACAGCCGCGTCACAGCCACGTCGCACATCGAACCGATCGCCTTCGTCTTGCAGGAGCTTGTAGCTATTAGGCCTCTTACTGCTACTGTCTGCATAAAAACGCTGTGCCAGCATTCTTCAGAGATTTTCTGGAGGATTTAGGACAAGACAGTATAGTGACCTTTATAGAAGCTGCTCGCGATGCTAGTGGAGAACGGCGGTGATTGGCGCGCGTGCATGTTCACATGCGCTGTAGAGTGAAACGTAATGCTGTCACCGCCATCGTAGTAGGAAGACAGCCGTTGTCTTCTCGGTACTTCTACGCAATCTGCGCTCTAAAATTCTCATTAAAAAATTAAACTTGTGAACCATGCAAAATGCTTCCGGACAATAGATTGAATCTCGCCAGAGATTTTATTGCTGAAATGATGTGGACTTTGCTCAAATTGGGGCAATCAATCTTCTTATCGTCACAGTCGCCCAAACTCAATTTTTTCTTAATTAGATTGCACCATCAAATCATTGGCTTATTTTATGCCATCTTCTCAACGAAGCGTCTGTAAGAGCACCATGATTCAGCAGCACAACACATGTGAACATACACGCGGGTCAATCACACGCCGTTTTCCGCCACCCTCCAGCAGCTTCTGTAAAGTTCACCATGTTGTCTCCTCCAGAAAAGAATGAAGAATGCTGGCACAGCCTTTTTATCCGGACAATAGCAGTAGGAGGCCTTGAAAATGTTAGGGCAGTATGTTATAGACGAATGTGACAACACCGGACAGAAGACATGCAGAAGCATGTCTAAAAGACTTAATGAAGTGGTGAAAAAGCCCGGTGGCCCGATTAGTAGGAACCACGTTTTGCGTTTTCTTTCTTTGCCTTGAAAAAAGTAACTTGTACAAAAATGTCGTATGCGGAGAGAACAGCGGTACCATAAACATGTCTCCACATTTAAAAGAGCAAGTAAACAAAAATATTGCTTGAGATGTCATTTTATTCAATATCATATGTAGATGAACCATAAACTATGAAATTCATGAACTTTGAGAATGACGATCCTCAATGAACCATTGCTTGCGGAACAGGAAGTCGAAAAACTCACAAGTATCCATTTGCCCTATCGAAACATGCTTGGCACAATAGTTCCTCTGCGCCTTTACAGTCTTTTCATTAAGTTTAGAGAAAAACAACAACATCGAAAAAAAAGCGAAGATTTTCTGGTGAACCCCAGAGTATTGTAGACAACGATGAAAAGCCCATCCCATATGACCATGCGCTGTCATTTACTATTCTGAGGTATTAGAAGCGAACCTCAGAAAATGGGTGATCAAAAGATACATATTGTTTATGCACTAAGATGTAAAGCGTAGCCTCTATTCACCTCTTCCCTTCGCAGCGAAACGTACGTATAGGCTGTACCAACCAGCATCGGTTATGCGACGTCGTGGTGTGAGGCGTGCTAACTCTGCTGCGCGTTAAAGAACGTCGCATGCGACGGTGCGTCGTCGCAATTCATACCGACGCGAGACCGATGCTGGCTGATACAGCCTGTATATACGGGTTCAAGGGCAAAAAGCCCCTAGCCTGGCAGAAAGCTGAAAATTTGCGGTTACTTGCAAGGCTTATGTTGGCATTTGTTTCAGTTAGTGGTGTTTCGGTTATACAGCCAAACAAAGATATCACGGTTAAGAGTGAAACCAAAATAGCAGAAATCTTACTGAAAACCTTGAAAGGTACATTTTTTCATTCAAACAAAGATGATGACTGATGCCAAGCCCTGCTTCATTTTCAAAGAAATTAGCACAATGTTTGATTGCGTTTTTGGTTCGTGCCAAACAGGCTTTTATTGCCTCTTTTTTGTTGAGGTTTTGATAGATTTCCTCTTTTCCGGAAACATTAAATCCGTGAAATCTGTAGCACGCACAACAGCGATGTCAGTAAGAGTGGTGCCACTTTATCTACTGGCTGCAGTGGATTAAAGAGCTTCGACAAAGACGTTACTTTTTGCGACATAAAAATCTGTTCGAAACAATACCAAGGGGTCAACAAGTCCGGAACTTACGTTTTGGCTTCAAAAGTCCTACGTACGAATGATATGCTCCCATAGAAAAAGCAAACCTCATCATCTGGAACCTTAAAATAGCAATTAATGAAAGAAAGCATCAAACATCCAAGAATGCATGGCGATGTTTTTTGCGTCTTACAAAGGGAAAGCTGCCAACACCATTAGTTTACACCAAAAGGGCACTCCTTTTCCTTAATTTTATAACCTTTCCGAAAATGTAATTTGGAAATCGTGATTGCCTTCAGAAAGAGAAGATTGCGCGCTTTATAAATAAGTTTGTAATACTTCTCATAGTTACCATTCTCCCGCAAAAATCCGTAACCTTTTTGTAATGGTGCGTTTTACGTGTTTCAAATTAAATAGTAATTCAGCAGAAGACCAGCAAAAAATTGCTCTTGGTTTGTTGAAGGCAACGATCAATGCTGCGGTAGAAATTGAGAACGTAGATTAGTGTAACTATGTAGAATATTGCTTCTTTAGTCAGATATTCGTCGAAAAGCAAGTATTCGAAAATGATTTGTTATTTCAAAAAAAAATTTTTTTTTCTGAAAAGCCTAAGCTTGTTATATTCAACGATCTGCAGCATTTGCGGAATTTATCATAGTGGAGACAACGTGGTCCAAATGGTGAATCATGCAATGTCTGCCAACTGGGAGAATGTGACCCACATAATGGGTCATGGCTTAAGTTTGTTGAAAAGACTACTATTTCGGAATACATTCGTTTTAAAAATTCTCTTACGCTTAAGCCTTAGAAAATGCTCTTGTGTTTCTCGTTTGCTTCATAGAATTACTGTAGGTATACTGTAGTTGACGATCGGCATAATTTTAGCTAATTGTAAGTAAAATTTTCGAATTTTCTGTGGAAGGCATTGCATTGCCCCAAGAGGCAGACAACTAAAAACGCGCGTTGTCTCAACGTGTCAAATGAAGATAACCAATGCAGATTCATGCAAATATTTCGCTTCTTATTTCCTCATCATGGCACGCAAAAAAGGCAAATCCTAGAAGTTGTATGAAGTATCATTCGATAGAGCAAAGCAAGCTTGACAAAAAGGCTTTATTGCTTTTGAAAAAAACTATATCCACGTGGAGTTCGAAGAATCTAAGGAATCTAAAACGTTTCAGTTGAACAAAAAATTAGACAAATTTATATTTCTACCCAAAATATCTCTACGGGATCACCAACTTGCTCATGGATATACATCCCTCATCAACATTCATATACGCAGTTGCTGTAATTCCTTGGCCAAACATCAAAAAACTAAAAATCTTCATGCCAAAGTGGATGCTGGGCTGTTCCTGCGTAAGTAATTCTAGATACTAAACTTGCCTTGGGAAATACGCCCGGGATTTTCAGCCTTCTACAAAAGTTATTTCTGGGTGAATATGGAATTCAATTTGAAGAACAGAAGAGGAAAAAGCTGAATTTGATAATTAATAGAGTTAACTCTTTTAGAAGGCTGAAAATTTACTTATTACTCCCTCCCCAAGGCAAGTAGTGTGGAATCATTTACGCGCGAACAGCCCAGCATCAGTGGGACAAAAGCATCAAAATTTCATTTTTTGATGTCTAACCAAGGAAGAATTACAGCAACTGCGCATATGAATGTTTGATGAGAGATGTATGTCCGTGAGGAAGCTGGAAATCCACAGACATTTTTTTGGGAAGAAAATACGGTTTTTTTCGAGTTTTCGGTCACTTGAAACATTTCAGATTTTATTTTGAACTTTGATCTGAATTCTTGGAATACCAGTAGTGCCATTTTTGTCGAGCTTGCTTTGCACACAAGGTATCCCATTTGCAATTCTGGGATTTGCCTTGTTGCGATGTCACAAGGGGAAATAAAAAGCTCATTCTTTTTAACCTGATAAACAGCTAAATTACAGGGCTTATCAAGCGCAGTATTATTTTCCCACCGCGAGCGTGGGAACGGGGGAGCATCCATCAATTGGATATGATTAGAGAGCATGTTGACGGAAGAGATGCAGAGTCCGGCGCGAAAGTGAAGATGCTGGTTCACCCGACACTGCGATTGATAAGCCCTATAACTTTACCACACTAAGTGCACGACCAATTGTTTTAGAAATGTTAGGTGGCTGCAAATTGCCAAAAGAATAAGTTCTGGAAGACGGTTGCTCAAAATTTCTTTGTCTCTTTTCTTTGTGAAAAGGTTAGGCGAAGTTAAAAAAGCGGTGCGCAATCTGCGAAACCATTGCACGATCTTCAGGAAAATTTTGCGGCTAACTACCAGGTTTTCTTTTTTTGGTGGAGAGAGCGTCGCATGGTTGCAACTTTGTTGTTTTATGAGAAGCCGCATGCCGCAAAGGCACACCACCTTGATGTGACCGTTATGAATGCAGATTGAGAATTGCTTATATATTACTCAAGAAACTTTCTTTAGAAAAAAAAACCTTGGCTCACTTTTGCAAAGAGATATTCAGAGGTAGCAGCATTACGTCTACAACTTGTAGGGGAGTTCCATCGTCAAGAATGATGGCGTCCCTGAATTCATTACAATTTAGTATCAAGAAGTGATGATTGCGCAGCTCTTTATGCTGCAGAAAAGTACGAATGCGACCCCAAAAGTTTGCTCGTGCATTGCGAGCTTGAGTCAATGACTTCAGCGTTGCCATTGCTTTTGGCAAGTGCAGAGTGGAGGAGCGTGCTTGCTGTTTTCACACACCGCAAGACACACCTCTTTTTTAAGTTTCCACTCTCCACCTTTTTTCATGAATACTTTTGAACAAAGGATGACTATAGGTTTTAGAAACAGCTTAGCGACGAAATTCAGATCTGCTTGGGATGTAAGGTTATCAGCAGCAGCGGCAACCCGACACTGTAAGGCCTGGGACAAAGTTTACGCGATTTCATCGCCGCAATTCTTTCAAAAGAAGAAACACCTGCGAGTCTATTGCATGCCGATCATCTTGCATTTCGGTTGTGATAGTCAGTCACGCTTGGTCGTGTGGGAAAACTATCACTACCGAAATGCAAGAAGACGGCATGCAATATATTGTCACATCTGTGTTGTCGCGATTAATCGCGACGATAAAATCGCGTGATGCCCGAAACCTAAAGCTTGCAACAGACGCTAACGAAGTATGGCTACTTTTAATCCTAATGGCAGGCGGTCCTATTGATAGCTGATAATTTCGATTTTTTGGGCGCTGACGCTTAGAGATAGGAGTATTGTAAGAATTTGATGATGTCTTTTGTGCGCAGGTCCTCGCGCGAAACTTATGGGTTGTACCATGAATCCATGCGAAGTTCAATCCTGGAATCCAGTTTGGAGGTGTATCGCAGCCGTTAGCAAGTCACCTGCGCTGCCGCTTCAGTGCCTTGCTTAGTTAGGGCGTCAAAATTACTTTCCACGTAGAATCCCCAAAGGTTTAGATTTGCCTGGACGCTATCTTCAAAGGCAGTGGATTGCCAGAATGAACATTTCCTGAGTGTGGTTGATTAAGTAGTAGACCCCCAAGCACGCTGTAGCCCAAACCCCATAAGCCCTAAAAATGTGTTAATAAAGAAAAACCATGAAAACTTCCATTAATTGGGCGGGTCCGGTAAAGTTCAACCCATTTTCTAGGGCTTAGCGCATGAATTGGCAGGTGAGTGGGGGCAGGCGGTCTGCAAACTCGCGCTTTTCTTCAAGCGGTCAGCAGAATTTTGGGGCGCGGTCAAACCTTCAGCGAGCGGTTTTTCCATGTCCTGCCAGCGGGTAGCAATGCAAAATTTTCTGCGAGCTCAAGTTGAGTAATCTCCTTTAGCGAGCGCTGGCCAAACTTTCAACAGGCGTTCGGACTCTTTTTATGCAGTTTCGGGCGTACGCCGACCAAAGGTGAGAAGAGATGTCATCATAAATCAATTACCCGAGTTTGGGGTACTTTCTCTCTGCGGAAAGTCCCAGGGGCGTGCGTCCTTCACAAAGGACTGCAGCCCTAGATAATATTGCATAATCTCACGGGAAGTCCGCGAGAATGCGGCGACGCGCCGCAATTAATTAATAAAAAAATCTGCGATTGTTCTCGGAGGATTCGCCTAAAACTGGCCAACAGTCTTCCAAATTTCTGCAAGCGGACCGTAAGAAATCAGCGAATTTTTTTTCTGCGGCCTGCTTGCCCAAAAATAGCACGGACTCCTGCCCCCCACGATTAGCAGGCAGCTCGGCCGTTTGGCTGTGCCTTGAAGCAGTAGCCATGCAGCCCGATTCTTCCAAATAAGGAGCAACACATTAGAAAGCCTGCGGGTCGCATTTTTTTGGTATGTTCAGGCTGGTCGAGCTCAAAAAATTGGGAGCGTCCTGTAGTCGTGAGATCAGAGTAGGTAAATGGATCAAACAGCAGGCCGGCAATGTCCCAACGTCACCTGCGCGCGTACCGCCTGGCAACGGGGATCAACCCCGGCAAATGACGAGGCCTGCCCGTCAGGCGGAGAGACGCACCAGGAACTGTAAATCGATCGTGACACATACATGGGACTATTAAGGATTTCGTCAAGCTGCTACGGCGTTCTCCAGAAGCGAGCGCCATTGCCTGCATGGGGCGAATGGTGAGCTAGGGGTACCTGTTCCCGGACGAGACTGACCAAGAAGCGAGTTCAGGAAGTTCGACTAACGACGATTAACTTATGAAGAACGCTAACGAGCCGCAGATGAGAGCTATGCGATAGAATGAGGAAGCGAACATCGACATCGCATGTGTACAAGAAACAAGGAGGAGGCAGACCAACGTCACCGGCAAGAGATACCGCCTTCACAACATCGATAGCAAGCCGCAGAACGAGTCACGAACCTCGTCAGCGGTAAATAGCGCGAGTTAGTGAACGACGTGACGCGTACTTTAGACAGACTGATGGCGATAAAGTTTGAGGAGATGAGTGTAGTGTCGTGTACGCCAGCCATCCGCATGTGCCAAGGCTGAGCAGGACACGTTTCGAAGGGACTTCGACATCCTGCTAAGAGCACTCGATGCAGCAAACTACATCTTCGTAAGAAACGCCAGCGGACGCATGGGCCAGCACATGATGGATTCAAGCGATACCATGGTCTAAATGGATACGGCCACGGAACGAGGACGGAGTACGCATCCTGGAAGCCGCCGAAGCGCACAACTTCGAAAGAAATGGCATTTGATCACGTATGCGAGTGGAGCCGCTTAGCGCAGATCGACTACTGGATCCTGCGCCGATGTCACTTGCCGATGGCGATGAGCACAAAGGTCGTACCTATAGCGACGCATGCATTTGCGCCACAACATCGATTACTCGTGTTGGATCTTCAACTGAACACTTGCATCTACAAGCCAGGAAAGCTTTCTCAACACGTTTCGGACCGCGAGATCGCGCGCGGCGAAAAAGAGGGTACTTTCAGCCGTTAGCCAACAAAGGGACCTTGATTCGTAGATTGCGTGCTACATCTGTAATCAGCATATCAGATAAGGTCCATACCCAGAGTTCTGAGTGAATTCGAAGTGTTTGAATTTTGTCGTCTGAGAGGGACTTCAGTACTTTCTTGAAAGATAGGAACAAGAACTCAGTTTCTAATTGTATCCGAAAGTATCCATGTTGTACACGATACGCATCATTATTGGAATTACGATTTTTCTCTTTGTATTGAAAGCTAATTGTAAGAAAAGTTGCGACGTCGCACGCGTCGTTCGCGTTGCCGCACTTCGTTGCAAGTTTGAGGAACACCCAGCCAGGACGCCTAATTGTCGACAAGCAGATCTGGTGTGGTCTTAGTTAGTCCACCAAGTAATCAAAGAGCAGAAAGAAGTTTTTTGAAAAGTGGCAGCACTCTTACACAAGCGAGGATTTCCCTCGATTTCGATAAACTCGAGTGGAAAGTTTGGCAGCCGCGGCAAAGGAGGCACACTACAAAAAGCCTACGATGAGCTGGAAGAATCTGCTGGAGATGACAAATGGCAGCTGCCCGATGTAGAGAGAAGCAAGACATCGACTAGGTCATGCACATCAAAGATGCAGAAAGAATACCTTACATCACTTTTTAACCGAATCATCGTCGACGGCCAAGTGCCGTGATTCTGGTTCACGAGTGTCTCTATGGCCCGTAGTAAACCCCCCTTCAAGGGATCTGCCCTGAGAAGGACCTGAGTTGATCTATGGCGCCTCGGTCTAGCATCCCGCGAGCTATTGATCTAAATGCGGATCGCTTTTCAGGCATAAAAGTCTTGCGCGCTATCAAAGAGGAAACACCTACACCTCTTGTGCAGGCTTGGTTAAACAGGTATGTGACTGCTCAGCCCGCACGACCGTGGTTCGGCGCCGAAAAGTGGCGAATTTTTGGCGAAATCTTTAATAGCGGCCACTATCGAAGAAAATCGATGACGGCCGCTATCAAGGAATCCACAAACCAAATGAATGCACAAAACAAAACTGCGTTTTTTTAACCAAAATTTCATCAAAAATTGAGGAAGTAGAGACAAAATCGAATGGAAATAAATAAAGAGATTGTCGCTCTTAATAGCCTCTGTAGAAAAAACCTAAGCAAACTCTGCAAAAAGGAAAAAACCTATTCTTCTGTTTTTTTGCCGAAATCAGCTGTTCATTGATCCTTTCCTTTTTGGGCACCGTATTGTGCAGTTTTGCGCGTTCTTGTACTGCAACAATACGTCAAGTACGATGTCCCGTAAGTTACTCACGAGCAACTTACGGGATTTTTCTCTGCGTCTCATCCGTTGCATACTATTTCGGTCAATTCATCTCATCAATTTATCTCAAAATCGAGGCTGCTCTTACGGATTTCAGGTGAATTCATCGCGGCATATGCCCTGACGCTAACCCTTCGCATCAGGTCGCATTTTTAAGCACGTGAGAGTGATCGCTAGTCAGTTTATCTTGAATACCTCAACTCAGCCCCTCAGTTGAGATCATCTGAAGTGAAGTGGGGTTTACTACGGGCCTATATCTATATCAATGGCGTATCCAGGATTTCGGCTTGGGGGGGGGGGGCGACAAAAATTTTTTTCTAATGAAGGTGCTGAAGGTGCTGACGCAACGTCAGCCACGCACTCCGAAAAATTTTTGGGATGTTTCCCAAAATTTTTCCGGGCCCCTGACCCCAAAATTCCAGAAAAAAAAGGGGCGTGGGCGTGGCGGCTTACAAGGCTAAGGCTAATTTGAATTTTCAAATTTTAAAAATTATTCTAATTATTTACAAGTAAAAACAAGTCCTCCGCACATTTTTATAACACACTTAAGTAACTTTTAAAAATTTTGCGACCCATTCTCGGGGGGGGGGGGAAGGGGCTCCCGCCTCTCCTCCCCCTCGGTACTCCACTGATCTATATATAATACCAGCTGGCTTACCCGGCTCCGCCGTATCCGGACCAAACTTGGCACACATACACTTCGGGCCCCGGCGGGTGTCACAGTCCACTTTTCGTTATCGATCGATGTCGATTTTACCGATTTTTATCGATTTTTTCGCAGAGTTCACCTACAGGGCTATGAGTTGGCACAGGGGGGGGGAAGTGAGCATGGGGATTCCGAATACAATATTAGTTTTCAGATATCGATTACTTTTATTGATTTTATCGATTTTTTTGTAAATTTTGACATGCGAGGCTGGGATTCTGCACAGGGGGGGGTAATCGAGCATGCTGATTACGAACACAATATTAGTTTTCAGGATCGTCCATTACTTTTATCGATTTTATCGATTATTTTTGTAAAGTTTGACCTGCGGGGCTGGGAGTTTGCACAGGGGGTAATCGAGCATGCAGATTACGAATACAATATTAGTTTTCAAGATCGTCCATTACTTTTATCGATTTTATCGATTTTTTGAAAATTTGAGCTAGGGGGCTGGAATTTGGCATAGGGGTGTAATCGAGCATGCTGATCACCCCCCTTGGGGATGATCAGCATGCTCGATTACCCCCCTGTGCCAACTTCCAGCCCCCTAGCTCAAACTTTGCAAAAAATCGGTAAAAATCGATAAAATCGATATCGATCGATGACGAAAAGTAGCCTATGACACCCGCCGGGGCCCGAAGTGTATGTGTGCCAAGTTTGGTCCGGATCGGTTCAGAAATGGAATTTTCTATTCGGAACATACGTACACACAGACAGACATACATACATACAGACAAACAGACATTCAGCTTTATATATAAGATTAGTAAAACTCAAAACTGTCAGTTTGGAGCTATGTGCGTTATAAAAACGCGCAGCTCAACCGATTTAGCTGAAACTTTGCAAACTCTGGGCTCTCTATCTTTTTCGCACTTTTCAATCATTTTAAAAGCTTTCGAAGCTCAGTCTTCCTCTCGTCTGTCCTACTTAGACGGATAGTACATACGTGTTTTTTTACAGCTGTATACAGTAAAGATACTTTTGTTTTGAGCAGTTGACGGCAAGAGGGAGGTGAGAGTCTGATCATGCGCCAGTAGCGTAGGCAATGGTGCCCTGTTTCTGTGATCAAGCTCACCTAATTTAAGAGGTACTTCAGTCATCCTTCTTGCTAATTAAAAGTCTTTGTATCATTTAGAACTAACCGGCTTTTGCGTCCAACCCAGGTCATCGTTCAAGAGAATGGAATAACCCACAATTTGTTCTTCCGCTTTCCATCTCTTCCCTTAGCTTCAGGCTCCCCTTTCAAGTCTTGTTATGCCCATCCGTTTTTGCTTTCTGCTGTCTCTGTACTGCACTAATATTCCCCTCCCCCCGCATGAGCTTACTTCAAAAAGTCCTTGTGACCACATTTTTTTCATAGCGAAATGAAAATGGGCTTTACCGCTGCTTTTACACCAAAACATACAATAGGTTTGATGGCGGTCAACAAGGTTTCATTTTCATTTTTGGGTGTAAGGAATCGTTAAATCGTACAAGAATCCAGCGAATAGCCTCGTAGCCTGTGTCTTTCCCGGTCCGAAACTATATATGTGAAAGTTTCAGCCCGATCGGCTTACGGGCAAGGGAGTCTATAAGTAACATATGATTACTGAACACTCACAAACTTTCTGCTTTATCTATAGAAAGTTGTAAGGTAGACGAACTCACACTTCATTTCCAAGGTAAGAAGTATCAAATAACTCTTGGATTTCCTTTTGAGAATTAACCGGATGGGTTTTGTTTTTACTCCATGGAGTGCGATCTCGGGAATCGTAGCAAAAACAGGCTAATGGGAGCTGAAATACTGATAATGTTCAAGTGCAAAAATAAAAAACGTCTTGAGCTTTTTCCGACCAAACCCTGTTATAGTCTTCAGCCTCTCAGGCATCGTTGAGACCGCGCCGTATCCGGTATCTGAATCTGTCTAAACTCGTCCAAATCGGTCTGAACCAGTCGAAATCTGCCGGAATCTGCCAAATCAGGAAAGAGATATGCTTGGCGAGCATCTCAAAGCAAGCGTGAACGTTCACACCGGCGCGGTGAGAACGATGCCTCAGAAGCAAGATGGTTTGTATAACCACCCTAAATAGCTACAGGTCTTTTTCAATATTTCAAACATTCTAAATTGTATCAGATTTTAGGACAAATCAATATTTACCATAGCCACAGTTGCACAAAAGACGGTGCTATGATTTTCCTAAAACGAAATGACTCTTTTACCTGGAGCACCACAAGTCACGTGCAAATCTTTGAGGAGACCGTAGCACCGAAGGCAATCAGGACCTGCACGCACCTCAAGACGCAAGCGTCTCGGTGTGGTAACAGCGCGCTATGAATTTGCTTCATTGTCTAAGCTTCACCTTCCAGGTGCTGTACTTATTGCAGAATCGCTATAGTCATAATCTGCTTACTCAACGTTTTCAAAGAGTAATTTTCTTACTTACTAATTCTTATTTGGCTTTGAATTTGTATCTGGCCTCTTTCGCCTACGGTACATCTTGAAATTTTCCAGATCCCCCCCCCCCTTCCCATAAGCTCATATGAACAGCCGTTGTTTTGGGATATAGAGAGTTGCCTGTTGCAAACATTAACAGCAGCATCTGTTTATTTTTGCACACTCACCAACAGTATTGCCCAAATGGAATCCTGCCATTTTGTCAACATCTGCGATTTTCAAATGTTGCCGCAATGTTCCGTTTCCTGTCTAAAGTCAATTTGTAGTCACGTGCAAGAACTATAGCTATTATCTGCCCGAATTTTCACAACTGCATCAAATGTGAGGAACCATCCACTGAGGAGCATTGATGCATTTGCTCAGTAATCCTTAACTAGTTAAATGCTATTGTAGGACGAAGGCGCAAAAGCAACACAAACGGAGCGGACGCAAGTGCGGCGCGCATATTTTCACTGTCAAACCTTGAGCCTCATGTACTTCGGTGTTAATATAACCGCTCTCGCGCCCCTAGGCAGAAAAGCTGAAATAGCACGTTTTATACTGATAATCTGTGTTGTATTTTTTCATTGCTTATCCTTTTTAAGAAGTTCTGTCACTCTGACGACCAAGCTAACTTATAACAGCGCATTGAGCGAACACAGTTGAGCTCATAAAGAAAAGGATCGGCACTACAAAACGTCCCTTTATATGTTCTCTCCTCTCTGAAGGTGTGTATAGGTCGTTTAGAAAACCGTAACGGGTTTGACTGCGGTTTTTGCGCTCACGGGAGTGCGCTCGTCATCGCGTGGTCGCGCCATTGTCACGATTCTTCGAATGCCCTATACTTTCGTAGGGCCTCCAAAATGCACTATTGTTACTTGGCTATATATCTATTGTGTATTTTGCTTCACTACTGCTTATGTGGTAGGATCTACGTTTCATCGAGCAATAGATATTTTTGGTGAAAGTAGAACAGCTTCAGAAGTTTATTTAATCAACTTAAAAACGCAAATGCTGCAATTTTATTGTCGCGCACAATCATGCAGTTATTTAGCCCTGATAATTGTCCGCTGATCGCAAGGTATTCGTGTATGTTACCTATACGGGTGGTATTATGCTGTCTCATGAGCTTTTTCAATTTTGACTTTTTACCGCAATAAATCACGTACTTTTTGAATCTGATTGGAATACAGGGTACTGTTCGATAGAGCGAAGTAAGCTCTATAAGGTAACGTGTGAGTGCTCGCATCAGCTTCAGCACGTCACGAGTTGGGGCCCAAAATCTGGGAACTTTTGGATACCCGAGAAACTGAAAATCTTTAATATCTTTGTTTAAATAGAACATACCAGATCCTCAACTCGCTCACGCATGAATAATCCACATAAGACCTTTATATACGCCGTCCCTGTCTTTGTTTCTGTGCTAGAAGCCGAGAAAACTGAAATTTCCAAGCTTTTGAAAAAGCGATGCTGCGTTGTTCTCATTTAAGCAAGTGTATACTGCAGGCTCGGATATATTGGTGAAATTTCACCTTTTTAAAAGCGTTGGTTTCCGAGAATTATTGAATTTAGCATGAAATACCCTAGCAAAAAAAGCTAAATTCGGTATTTCTTGAAAACTAGCCCATCCAGGAGTTGAAGATTTACGAACATACTTCTGAAGGCTTGTAGTATACATTTACTTATGTGAGAGCAGCGCAGCATCGCTTTTTTAAAAGCTAAAATTCTTAGTTTTCTTGGTTTCTAGCACAAAAACAAACACAGGGACGGCGTAAATGAATGTCTTATTCGGAGTGTATATGCGTAAGTGTGTTTAGAATTTGGTAAGTTTTATTTGAACAAGGACATAATTTTTAATACTCGGGCGTCCGAAAGTTTTCAGCTTTCGGCTTCTAACTCGGAATGTGCTGAAGCTGGTGCAAGCACTCACACGTCATCTTATAGAGCTTGCTTTACTCTATCGAACGGTACCCTCCACTCTGATCAAAATTGAGGAATGTGTGACTTATTGCGGTAAGAAGGCAAAATTGAAACTTTCGAAAAACCTAATAGATCTGATCGAGTAACCACTTTCTCAAATATTGATAAAAATTATTTTTTGAATTTTCCGAATATCGAGTTAGCTAGTAGTATTTTTGATGGAGCTGCGACAAAGTCTTATGCCCTTTAAGAAGTTTTCTCTTACAAGAATAACCACTTTGGTCACAATAGTCTTTCCATATAAGCAAGTATAGGATGGGCAGCTAAGTTCTGCAATCATGTCCATATCTTTGAATTTTTGGCGTATGGGATCGTATAGCATCCAAATTTCAACACTGCACATATGATGTATAAATTGTGAAAGAACAATAGAATAAAGATTTTAGCATTTTTTTCCTTTTACAACTGCTGAAGTTTGGTACTTCTCAACAATGGAAGTCGAAGAAAACCGAGATCTAAATTCCTGCAAAGTCAGACAAGTTGAGTTTGCAACGCTGTTGAGCAGCATCATATGCCAGCAGCTATTAGATTAGAAACTCAAAATCGGGGAAACTGGTGATTTTACATGCTGTACAAATACGTATGTCCACTTTTAGGACAAATGCCAAGACCAAGGACCGCATGCATTAACATCCCCGCCGGAAGGGGAGGGGGGGGGGACAGGTCGCATCTTCAGAAATAAGCTTCATATCCTAAATCCCCAGATATGTGAATTTCACGGTGTCTACCTATCCGTAAGTATTTCCACGAACCTTCACAATGAATTTATTGAACAAGAGCAAAAAGCTGTACAAGCCGCATTTGCAAGCTTTTTGTATGATCCCCTGATGATCCCGGAACTCCTCTTCCTCAAAATCATTTTTCTTCCACCAAAGTCAACGAAAACTTTCCAAATTTGTACTGATTATCTAATCCAACAGTGCTAATCATGTTTCTGATAAGAACAAATGAGTTTTTGAGAATCGATTTTTTCGATAAATCGCAACTTTCGACTCGTGATTCATCGCAAATTTCATGACTTCGAAACATCACTTGTTCTCAACAGTGATTAGCACTGTTGGGTTACATAAACAGCACCACTTTGGAATGTTTTTACTGACTTTGAAACAAGAAAAATGACTTTAAAGATGAGACGTTTGGCAGCTAAGGGTCATCAAGAAATCAAACCAAATTGGAAAATACGGCTTGTACAGCTCGTTGCTCCCACAAAATGTTTATTGTGAAGGTTGGTGGGAATACTTGCGAGTAAGTACTAGACAGCGTGAAACCCAGATATCTGAAGCCTCAGGATACGAAGCTTCCTTCTGAAGCTGCGATGTCCTCCCTGGCGGGGATGTTGATGCATGCGGCCTCAAGCTATCATTTGATTATCTACCTTAACCCCATAATGGGCTTGGCGCTAAGCGAAATTAAGAATTTTGAAACGAAAACTTCATTGATTTTAATTGCTGGTATAAGGTGGCAACAATTGCACCAAACTGTTGCACCGAACTCAGAAACGAAAAAGAAAAAGGAGAAGTTTTCTTTCATATTTTCTCAATTATTGCGCTCAATTGCGCGACTATATAAGTAAACACAGAATCATCAACATTGACGGTGTTAATACTGGGATCACTGGTGAGAATGACAATCGAAGACGAATCAAATGCCATTGCGATATGAAACGAGTCGACGCCGCAAAGCTGTTGAGGCGCATCTGTCAATAGCTAATGAAACAAAAAAGAAACTCAAATTCTGCCAAGAGTTTGTTGGCGAAGAAGGAGGGGTAGGGATAAATTCCACCTGCCAAACACATACATTATGTCCCCTCCTAAAGTCAACGCCTTACTGCGGGGTTGCGAAATACCATTCAGTTAGTTACGTAACCCTATATAAACATCGCAAAGATTAATTCTTTCGTCATTAGCATGTCGGAAAACCGCCCAACTAACTTTTCGTCAAAGTTTTAGTTTAATTCAATAAAGTATTCCATTCTAACGCCTGACAAAAATGCAAAAGCGTATTAGAAAGTGTTTTGTTCGATTTTTGGTGTCTACGACCTCTACGATCATAGAAGAGTTGCAAAACTTGCCCCCAACCCATACATTTGGGAGTCTCTAGTCACACTAATAACAGGAGATATTTTTCTTATCAATGGATGGCTCGCTATCAGATCAGAAATGTACATCGGTTGATTAAAGAAAATAGTCTTTAAGTCTGAAGCTCTTTCATTGTCAAATTATGACAATGAAAATGATGAATCAAATTGATTATTAGAATGCTTTACAGAAGAACTATCTAGTTGACCGGAATGACAGAAAAACAGGAGCAGAAAAAGACACGCGCATTATACAATATCGGGATTTGTAAGTGCCCATATATTGAGCGAATCCTTTAAAAACGATAAAACGAGTGGAATGCATGACAGAAAATTAAAATCAAACCAAAAACGTGTTTGGTTCAAGACATTTTGAAGTATCAAGACGATGACCTATGGCAATTTCAGGCGCATATCGGTTCTTTTGGAAAGATTCCAAGATGGACTCATTTACGAAACTCCGCAAAGATGGAAGCGCAAGACAAATAATAAAGCGAGAAGAGTAGAACCAAAAAATTGTTAAAACCGAAGTGTTTCAAGTGCATATTAGTATGATGCAGTCCCTGGAAAACAATCACTAGTAAATAGCATGAAGTATTTGAGATTATTTCCATACTCAAGCAGATGGAACTATAGTAGCTTCACCCCAGCTTCAAACAACAACTAACGCTTGCATCAATAATGTCATTATGATCATGGAATGATACAAAAGGTAAGCCTCTAGAAAAGTTCTACTCAGACAATCGACCGGACCCCTCCGCCGGACAGTCCGAATCTGCCAGAGTCGCGCCGGACTCAGTTGACCAATGAGAGAGGGGCAAATGGGCGGTCCGTCGCGGTGACATCTGGCAGGCAAGTGGGAGGCTTCTCCGGCCCTGCTGCAAAGGTCCGCCATTTCTCCGGCGCGACTCTGCCAAATTTGGCGGACTCGCGCCGGAAAAATTTGCCCGGCGCGAGTCCGCCAGATTTGGAAGAGCCGCGCCGGAGAAAATCGGAGGGGTCCGGAGCAGAAATGGGAGGCCTCCGGAGCAGAAAATGGGAGGTATCCGGAGCAGAAAATGGGAGGTATCCGGAGCAGAAAATGGGAGGTATCCGGAGCAGAAATGGGAGGGCCCCGGAGCAGGCTGCGTATCGATTTGGCGCGTAGCCACGCTGTGAGATTTTGAGACGTTCTTAAATGCGCGCTAATCTAGACTATCTAGTGTTGTTGTAATGAAAGTATCGTCTAAATAATCGGTTTATTGCTATCTCCACCGATGAATCACTTTGCCGTTTGCGTGTTTCGCACCTCGCGCGTCTGTGTGGGATTATCATGCGGTTTTCCGCGAATTATCAATATGACTGTTTTTTACATACCATATTGTTTTCAGGGCAGAGGTAATGAACTGTGAAGCGAAGCATGCATTGCATTGTGCAGCATTGCTTTCAAAATTTTCGTAATCAGCTTTTTTACCTTCAGCTTTAGCACTTCTGCTCTTTCTGTTGTTGTTGTTGATTTTGACTTCAGTTTAGTATACACTATGTTTAGACGTAACCAAACCAACTCAAAATATCTGTGTTTACAGGTATGGATCCCATTTACGATACAGAGGTTGTTTTCATCGAGAGTTTTGCGCCAAAACCAAAAGCCAAAAGTGCGGACATTCGTAGTGAATACTAGTAAGTCACAGCTCTACTTCTTTTCTCGAAGTCTCGGGAGTTTTGATTTTTTGATTGCCTTCAGATGCCGCTTTGCATTCTATCAATGCAAATGTTGAGCCATCTTCAGGCGTTTGTACGTTTCCCGCGAACAGTCAGTTCCCTGATCGTTTTATTCTTTGGTATGTTCAATTTACACTTTATCACGAGTTATTGATTGGTTGGGCACGGAGCTCATGCGTATGCTTGCGGCAATGCTTGCGGCGTTTCGCGCATCTGTTATACAGGGACTTTCAATCTGAGTGTCACGGTCGACGTGGTTCACCCCCTCGAGAGCCGCGTTGCATGGGTCTCTCACGTAGTACACGACCGCACCCGGTAACGCGAAGGCCTTAGCGGATCGGCCTTGTGCCACGTGAGAGACCCATGCGACGCGGCTCTCGAGGGGGTGAACCACGTCGACCGTGACACTCAGATTGAAAGCCCCTGTACACGAGCCGCAGTTTACCAAGGTGTGTTTATCCTCATCTAAAGTACGCAGTGAATTTTGCAGTCTATCATTTAGATCGCCTATTGCATGGCTGAAGGACAACTGGTTGTTGTCACCTTACATGCCAATAAATGTGAGTAATGTCAAGAAAGGACTGAGCTTGCTTTCCAACACCGTTTAATTCACCGCGTTTCTTTCCCAGACGATAAAGCAGAAAAAATTGTGTTCCGTGAGTATGGGTTGATGAAGCGGCTTTTGGGCGAGGCTTCATCAGGAGGTGTTTGCGATGTATCCGGTTTCGGAGGAGTGCGAAATGGGCAAGAAGCGTTGGAAGATATTTATTACGCTATATATCGTGACGGTACATTACGTGCCTGGAATGCTGGGGTCTATATCCGTCTAGTCTTGAACGAAACAAATGTTTTGCATTTTTAGACTGAGAAAGTTCGTTCAATTGATGTTTGTAAGCTCGATCTCATTGTGGACTATGGCGATACTTACTGTAAGTTTGCAAATTATGTTTATTCAAATTACTAAGCTTACGTCAGTTTGATGATAATTATCTTACAAAATCCTACAAATATCGTATGTCTCTTAATTCCAGATAGTTTGTCAAGGCTTGAAATGTGAATGCGCTCATGGAGATGGTTAGCATTAATCGCGCATGTGGACGCATATCTAAGATCTTCAGAGGTATGAGTATGATTTCTTCATCGGATATCAAAATCATCAAATGGGTATCTTGTCATGTTGTATGTGTTACAGTGTAAGAATATTTTCGATAGAGCAATATTTGAAGTACATTGAAGTTGGGTTAAATATGAATTGTTTAGTTTGACGCTCACTACGCCCAAAAAGGTGGCCGCTCAATTGAGTCATCTTCGTTTGATGCTCAAAAAGAAGGTGAACAAAGGTATGCAATTTTCTCTTCTCTGAGTGAACCTAGTTATCTTTCGTTTGCAAAGTCACAAGCATTCCTTTCTGTTCCCAGTTGTCTTCAGTTAACAAGCTTTTACAGTTTAGGTTCTTTTATTCCCTCGGGTGCACTTGCGATCAACTAGAACAGGCTGCTCGTGGCCCAGTCGGCCTTTTTTTGCTCGATATGCATTGTTTTCGTTTTGCAGATATGTGGGATATTGAATTTCTGTGAGGACGGTCGGCACCAGTTTGGCCAAGGTGTAAGTACTTATGCTAGCGGTGAATTTGTCAACTGGCTGACGACAATGTCTGACTCATTTCGGTACGGTTTTCACATTTTTCTACCGACCATCATTCGCCTGTGTGAAACGTCGCAAACCAATCATCTATCGTTTTTAAGAGTCGCCGATGATATGGGCCAACTGCGACTGCAATTTAAACTGTTCCACAAACCGTTGTTTGATTGGAAAGGTTCATTCTTCGTTACACCAGTGGGTGTGAAATGATTAACGATATAGAATGATTTTTCGAAGAAGTTTGAAAAATTTGAAATAAATGTCTTATCTCTTCGTTCTTTCTTCTATCTTCTATCCACAAACGCTAGGGGTGAGAGGGAGGGGGTAAAGACGGGGTTGAGGGTCGCGCTGAACTCTTACCCGGGGGGGGGGTCGTATTCGGCTGATTTGGGTGGGGTTTAGAGACAAAATTGGGGTTTGGAGCTTAAAGGCAGCGTCCAGACAAGTCTGGACCTATGGGGATTTTACATGGAAAGTACTTTTGGGGCCCTAACTAAGCCACTACCCAACCGGCAGCTCAGGTAGTGCTCTAATGGCTGAGATATTTCCCTCGAAACTGGCCCCCGCGAACGTATTCGGATGGATTCATGGCAGTTTCGCGCCAGGATCCACGCTTTGCGTCATGAATCCATGCGAATACGTTCGCGGGGGTCTGTTTCGAGGGGAATATCTCCGCCATTAGAGCACTACATGAGCTGCTGCTTCGGCAGTGCCTTAGTTAGGGCCCCAAAAGTACTTTCCATGTAAAAGCCCCATAGGTCCAGATCTGCCTGGAAGCTGCCTTTAATTAGGGCTAATTACAGTATGCCGCGGCAGACTTGCGGAGCACAAAATCGGGGGACTCCGGCGCACAAAATCGGGGGGCTCCGGCGCACAAAATGGGAGGTATCCGGAGCAGAAAATGGGGGGGGGTATCCGGAGCAGAAATGGGAGGGCTCCGCCGGACGAGTGGGAGACCCACCGCTGGGGAAACGGCGCGACCCTGCTCTCCGGCGGAGGGGTCCTATCCGTTGCCTGAGTATTCCAATGTCAGTGCCGAGCAATTAGCAAATGTACAGATGCCAAATCAAAAATGGCATGCAAGCGTAATTGAACTGAAACTGGCTAACCGACTAGTGATCGGCTAAGGGCTCTGAGTTCGCGAATGGCGCGCTCTACGCTCAAAGCGCCAGGGCGGAGCGGTAAAAAAAGACACTGAGCGCCTAGAATAAATTCATTAAACCTTCTCCGTTTTTTTTAATCTTTAATCCGAAGGTTAAGATGTTATGGGATATGTTATAGATGGTAGCTTTTGTCTTTTATACACAGCGCACATGTTGAATGTCTCTGAGGCCAAAATGCCAAATTGCCAAATTGATGCCAAATTTTTTCATGTTCTTTAAAATCGAAAATCATCAGAACCTGAAAACAAAGAGTTGTCTCAACAGAATTCCTTACGTGCGACCATGCGAATCGCGCAAGATACTTTCAGGGCTCGATCTGAGGTGGCTCAAGCAATTTTCCAAAACAATGTCCCAATCGAATATGCAATAAAAGTAGGAAATCTTTAATAAAATGCTCACGAATGAGTAAGGACATGAATACTATGAAGTCACCTAACTCTACGATTGTTACGTTTCACATAATTTTCCTTATGACTAGTGAACCAGGGGACCTTGTGTGTTGCATGCTGAGGAGCGCATCAGATTCACAGTTGCATTTCAGTCAATGCACTTGGACAGTGGAAGTGCTCCCAACTTTTGATTCGAAAAAATAACAGCAGCGCACAAATCAGTTTTCCTGATGTTTTCAGGACTAAATGATCCAATATCATTTCCGCTAAAAAATATAGTTGTAACGAACAAAAATTTTCGCCGAATGAACGAATATCGAATAATCAATTTTTAAAATTTTTTCGAACGAATGAGTATCGAATAATTGATTTTCGAAAATTTTTCGAACAAATGAATATCGAATATTTGATTTTCGAAAATTCTTCGAATGAACAATATTATACGACTTCCGATTTTCATTTTATTCGAATTTGAATATTCGAATATTGGCACATTCCAAAATTCAAATGAACGAATACTTGAATAACCAAACTTGATAGAATGTTCGACTAATTTCGAATAGATGTTCGAATATTATTCGAATATTTGAATGCAATATTCGAATATTCGAATAACTATCTTTCAAAACTACTCGAATGAATGAATATTCGAATAACCTTTATTTAGAACTTGTCGAATGAACGAATATTAGAATAAGTCATTTTTCGAAATCGTCGAATGAACGAATTATTCGAATATAGCCTTTCTCATTTATTCGACTATTCGAATACTCGAATAAATGGACTTTCTCAAATATTCGACTATTCGAATAATCGAATAGTCGAATATTTCGAATAAATTATTCGAACACGAATATTCGGTGCTAACTATACTAAAAAACTCTTCTCGTAGGTGTTCTGAGTTCAACCCGTCCCCACTTTTTCTCACTTCCTATTCTAATACCTCAGAGTTGCACGTCGGAACCGCGTCGCAACTGAAACAAAAAACCCAGGCTTTTCTCCGGTTTTGGTCAAATCACCCACATGCCTCCTCCAGAACTTTTCCAAAGGAACGCTGAATTCGTTCCACAGTGCTCATTCTTTCTTCTGTCCAAACTGTGGTAGCCATTGTGCACCAAAATGCATTCCACAGATCCAACGTCCAGGATCAGAGTTCCTCTCAACAAAAATATCCCGCAGGTGCCCACTCACACAGCCCCATTCTTTCTCGCTCTCTCTATCTTACTATCTCTTTCCACGTTGGAGCCCATACTGGAGCCCATACCATTCTCCGTGGATTTTCTGGCCAAAGTGAACTTCACCCCTCCATAACTTTTTCAGAGGGAGCACTGAGCTCCACGGTGCCATTCTCCCCCCACCCAAAGCTGCTGTAGGCTGTGCGTGCAGAAGCACAAAATTCTATCCCCGATCTTTTTATGGCAGGGTGTCCAAGGTTCCCCTCCCCATCCCTTGTCAAAGTTCTTCCCCATACCCTCACAAACCTCCCTAAGGGCCGCATGCACTAACATCCCCGCGGGGAGGGGATCGCAACTTAAAAGAAAGCTTTATATTTCGAAACTCCAGATACTTGGATTTCACGTTGTGTACCTCTCCGTAAGTATTCCTACTACCCTTCACTATGAACATGTTGAACAGGAGCGAGAAGCTGTACGAACCGCATTTTCCAGCTTTTGTATGATCCCTGATGATCCCCGGCGCTTTTCTTTAAAGTCATTTTTCTTTTTCCGAAGTCAACGAAAAACCTCCAAAGTTGTGCAGGTTATCTAAACCAACAGTGCTAAGCATGTTGCTAATAAGAACAAATGATGTTTTGAAGTCATGAAATTTTCGATGATCCACAGGTCGAAATTTGAGGTTTACCGAAAAATTCGACTTTTCAAAAACTCATTTGTTCTAATCAGCAACATGCTTAGCACTGTTGTGTTAGATGTTCAGTACAGCTTTGGAAAGTTTTCGTTAACTTCGGAGAAAGAAAAACGACTTTAAAGAAAAGCGCCGGGGATCATCAGGGATCATACAAAAGCTGGAAAATGCGGTTCGTACAGCTTCTTGCTCCTCTTCAACATGTTCATAGTGAAGGGTAGTAGGAATACTTACTGATAGGTAAACAACGTGAAATCCAGGGATCTGGAGTTTCGAAATATAAAGCTTTCTTTTAAGCTGCGATCCCCTCCCCAGCGGGGAGGTTAGTACATGCGGCCCTAAGTGTTCGCCCTGTCACACGATCCTTACCCTTACTCGCTCTTTATTATATTACTTAAGAGTTCTTTTTTGGGCTCAATTATTTCCTTGGTGTTCTTCGCCAAAAAACTCCAATTCCCCTCTCCTTCAAGACTTTTTAAACGGGAGCGCTAAGTTTCAGATACCTATTCTGTCCATTGTCTGTCCAAATGCTGTAGCCAGTGCATGCGGCAGGGGTGCCGAAAGTTTTTCTTCCCCCTCCCGCTCCCTTCAGGGATTCTGCCGATATAGCGCCCTGTCACGATCCCCATTTCGCACCCTACCTTAAATCCCATGCTGGTGCCCAAATTCTCTTCATCGGCTGAACCAAATACTTGGGTATTCCTCCAAAAATTTTCTAGAAGACAAAGGTCTAGGGCGATTTGCACAACCATAACGCTGCATGCTATTGCGTATGGACTCATGATGGAGGTTCCGCGCATAACTCTATATGCAAGTGCCCGGGGTAGAGGACTATATGTCGCCGAAAAAGGGCGGCCCCGCGGTCATTTGCGACAAATACGCATCCTTGTATATGCGCGGACATGCGTTCCTGCAGAAAATCCGCGCGGGACTCTTCCAAATCCGGCGACATGTAGTCCTCCACCCAAGTGCCCGCTAAACACGACATTGGGGACAGGTGCCTTGCTGCCTTCAACCAAAGAGCCCTTCGCTTCTAACCTTTCAGCTTCTATAGGCAGGGTTCATACTGAGCCGCACAAAGCGGCACAGTTCCCGCACAGCGCTCGAACTGTGCTCGAACTGTGCCGGAACTGTGCTGCATGCAGTTGGAGTATTTTGACCGTTTCTGACGGTTTTTCTTTTAGGTTTCTCTCATTTCGGGCCTTATTCCTTCACCCCGCTTTTCCTTTTGATGAGTGGATTTCAGAGCGCAAAGCGGGGTTGAGGAATAAGCGCTGTTCTGCTTTGTGTGTCCAATTATGCGTTGTTCCGCTCCTTCGTGTCTCTTCGTTTTATCCTTACATAAAAGTATTCCATTTGTTTTCAGGAGGCCGCTGCAATATTTTCGCAGGCATTTTTCTTGAAGGAGAGCAAAAATAGTGCAGAAGAGCAGGTAATTCCATCAATCAGTTGACCACTATTGGGCTCACAGCCCCTTTTCGTTTTCATTTCATTGTTTTTGTTCTTTGTTTTACTTCGCTTCCCTTATTGTTGTGTAGCGCTTCGAACTTGAAGCGGGGTAGAAGAAAGAGCGAAGAAGCAATGAAATGGAAAAAGAACGCGGCTGAGAGGATACATGAAGCACAATCGCGTTCATTCTTTTGCCCCGCTTCAAGTTCTAAGCGCTACACAACAATAAGGGAAGCGGGGTAAAACAAAGAACGAAAAAACAATGAAATGAAAACGAAAAGGGGCTGAGAGCCCAATAGTGGTCAACAGATTGATGGAATTACCTGCTCTTCTGCACTATTTTTGCTCTCCTTCAAGAAAAATGCCTGCGA